TTATGACGCTGTTGGTCATTTGCTTTGTTTTCTTATTGGCTAGCTCTGGCTTAATTATTAACCCATAACTGCTAATCTGAGTATTTCCACGCAATCTTCTCTTACGGGAGAAAGGGTCCGGACCTCTTACTCCTTTGGCGTCCTACATCGTGACTCACTGTGCCTCTGTTTCCCAGGATCCTCCTCGACTCCTAGTCCCACCAATCTTGCTTCCCTATTGGCCAACAGTGCTGCACTTAATAAACCAACAAGACAGCATACACACCGAAGGACTTCCCCCGTCAGTTTTCCATTTCTTTGGCAAAAGTAAAGGCAGGGATGATGACACATGACAATGATCGGATGAAATGAAGTTAAAATGTCAGTGCATTAGTTTCCCAGGACTCCCCCAGCAAAGTACCAGAAGCCAGCGGCTTAACACAAGGAGTTTCTCTCTGTTTTTCCTCAGAGTGGAATCAGAGGCCTCCTTGCTTGTCCCTTTCTAGCTTGTTGAATTCCTTCCTGCCTGGCACTCTTTATTCCTTGGCAGGTAACTGCATACTTTGATATCAGCCTCCATTGTGGCATTGTCCTTTCCCTGAGCCTCTGTCTCCTCATTCCTCTCCCCCTTTCTACTTCCTTTCTTGTGAATGTGAATGTGTGTGTGTGTGTGTGTGTGTGTGTGTGTGTGTGTGTGTGTATTTTGGTTGTCATCTTGACACACTGGGGAAGAGGAAATCTTTTTTTTCCTTTTCTTTTTTATTTAATTTTTTAAATTCATTTTACATACCATCCACAGTTCCACCTCCCCCTCCTCCTACTCCCTCCCATCTCCCATCCACTCCTTAGAGAGGGTAAGACCTCCCATGGGGAGTCAACAAAGCCTGGCACATCAAGTTGAGGCAGGACCAAGCTGTTCCCGATGCATCAAGGCTGAGCAAGGCATCCCACCATAGGGAATGAGCTCCAAAAAAGCCAGCTCATGCACCCAGGATAGATCCTGGTCCCACTGCCAGGGCCCCCACAAGCAGACCAAGCCACACAACTGACACCCACATTCAGAAGACCTAGTCTCATGCAGGCTCCCCAGCTGTCAGTCCAGAGTCCATGAGCTCCCACTAGTTCAGATCAGCTGTCTCTGTGGGTTTCCCCATCATGATCTTGACCCCCTTGCTCAAATAATCCCTTCTCTCTCTCTCTCTTTGGCTGGACTCCGGGAGCTATGCCCAGTGCTTGGCTGTGGATCTCTGCATCTGGGGAAGAGGAAAAATGAATAATTTTCCTGGATGTTATTGACATGTGGGCATGTCTGTGAGGCATTTTCTTGATTGCTAATTGATGTAGGCTGGCCCAGTCACTGTGGGTAGTGCCATCCCTGGGCAGATGAGCCTGGGTTCTAAAAGAAAGCTAGTTGAGTGTGAGCCTGTGAGGGAGCTAGATGGAAAACCGGTTAGCAGTGCTCTTCTGTGGTTTCTGCATCAAGCTCCTGCCTTGAGCTCCTGACTCGGCCTTCATAGACCATGGGCTATAACCTCTAATCCAAACGTTCCCGCCCCCAGAAACTTTGTTTTGGCCAGTGTTCTACTACAAGAACAAAATGCAACTAGAACAGTGTGTGTAGGAATGGGTGGATGGGATGGACATTGGTCAATTACTCTCCACCTTATGTTTTGAGACAATCTCTCAAGAAACTTGGAGTTTGCTGACTCAGCTTGACTGGCCGGGCAATGAGCCCCAGGGATCCTCCTGAGTCTGCCTCTCTAACCTAGGATTATAGTTAACCTTTCCACATGAATACTGGGGATCAAACTTAGGTCCTCATGCCTGCATGGGAAGTACTTTACCAATTGAGTCATCTCTTCAGACCCTTCCTTCTTTTCTTATTCTTTTTCTTTTTTCTTTTCTCTGTGTAGCCCTGTCCCTGGCTATCCTGGAACTTACTCTGTAGACCAGGCTGTCAGGACTCAGAGATCCACCTGCTTCTGCTTCTGGGATTACAGGCATGTGTCACCACCAACCACCACCTGACCCTTTCTTCTCTTCTTATGAAGACAAAATAATTGGATTTAGGGCATAGTCTAATCTAGTGTGACCTTGTCTTAATTTTATCTGCAAACACCCTGTTTTTAGACTCCCTTTCGCGCCCCCCCCGCAATGATAGGGATTTAACCCATGGTCTTATGCATTAAGTGCTCTACCATTAAGCAACGACCCCAGCCAAAGACCCTTTTTCTGAATAAGATCCATTCTGAGGTTCCAGAAACACAAGAATTTTAGAGGAACACCTGTTCATTTTACTACTATTAAAGAAAATGAATAATGGCGTAGGGGAAAGGGCATCAAAAGGATGTATGCCGAAAGTTAGTTCTTCCTAAAACTCATGTGTTGAAGATAACTCATCAAGGTGATGCTATCACGTGGGGCATTTTGTTGGTGATTGTGATTTGAAGCTTCTAGTCTTGAGATTAGGATTATATATAATTAGTGTCTTCTAGTTCCCTGGCCTTTACCAGATACTGAATCTTGGGCCTTGGTCTCAGGTTTCCCACCTTCCACAACCATGAAACCCCCATGGTTTATAAATAAATATTTAGTGTGCCCAATCTGTAATTCCTGTTCCTTACATAGGAACACAGTCAGATTAAGAACTTGAGGTCCACCGTGTTTTCACAAGTTGTCTCCTCAGTGAGAACTAGCTGTGCACTGCTGGCTGGGTGAGGTCGGGACACAGATGCTGAAGGTTGTTACAAAGTTGTATGAAGAACTTCCAAAGGCATGGAAAGGTCTGCTTGGAGCGTAGGGAGAGGAGGCTTCAGGGACCATCCGGACAATCCGCGCACATGCTGGGGTCTGTGGGCTATGGTTTACCCTGCAGGCCTGGCTTTGAGCAAGAAGGATCAGTAGTTTGTATGGAGCTAGAAACAAGATGAGACATGTGTGGGATGGCTGGGAGATAGTTGGGCCAAGCAGTGGACATCAGGGTGAAGAGTGGTCGCTTGTGCTCAAAGTTCCAGCTCATATGGGGGCCTAGGAGTTCAGATCCCTCCAAGGGGGAGGCATTTCTTGGTCTCTGTTGGAGTTTAAGCCAGCCTGGGCAGTGCTGTGTGGTTGTCTTTTGTTGGCTTTCGACCCCATTGTAAATCCTGGCCTGCTTTGATGTGTCTCGGCCATTTCCTCGTTTCATTTGGTGGAAGCACGGCTGCCCAACAGCCAGGTTGTACACTCACCTCAGATGTTTCATGCCAAACACTGAGTTTTACAACCTCGTATCATACATGTCTCTGCCCCCACACTTCTTTATCTGTAAGCGGGGTTATATATGTGACTCTGTGTCTGGTCCACTCTGACCCCTGGACAATTTCCAGCCTGTGTCTGGGGTCTGCAGGCGTTCTAAATCTTGTGCAGTCCTAATTTGTGTCTTCTTTCTCAGCAGGGCATCCTCTGGTACTGCTCTGTATCAGGGATGAAGCAGGCTGCTCTCCCCTCCTTCGCTACAAACCATAAAACTAAGCACGGCAAGACGCTCTTGATTAATTTCATCCGAATGACTTTTTAAATCCATTGACTAAAATGCCTGCTTAAATCATTCATTTCTTTTGCAAATGTGTTTGTAAATAATACTTTAAAAACACTTCATCTAATTATTATTATTATTTTTTTACCACAGCTGAATGTTAACAGATTGAAGATGAGATTTATGTTTAGACAGCATTAAGGTACTAATTTTTTCCTCAACAATAGGCACTGCAATTGACAAAATTAAAACAGAAAATGTAGACCAACAAAAAATTAATTTGCACCAGGCTTAATAGTTTCTCTAAGTAGATCCAGCCACTCCTTGGCTGCCTCAGAAAAGCCATAAAATTTTTTTCTGGGAAGAATCTGGCACTGAGGATTCCACACTAATTACGTTTCCTCCCTCTTCGCCTCGCCCCCTTTGCTTTCTCCCAGAACATGCAGTTTCCATATCCAAAATGCTCTGGGCTCTGCTGGGGTAAGGAAGTCAGGGGAGGCAGGGGCAGGCTGCGAACCACATAAATAAATGGGAATTTCCATGTAGACACGAGGCTTTTCTTTCTTCAAAAAATGAGAATAAGGCACGAGTATAAATTCCAAAAAGAGCAATTTATTTAAGTCTATCATTTTTTGGCAACACAATAGAACGCACGTCGGGTGAGTAGTCACAAATCACTTCCCTTCCCACTGTCTGTGGGCTCCACCATATGTTAGTGGGGTACAATTCAAATGCTAAGCTTTACTTTCTTCCCATGTGAGGGAGCATACTGAAATTCTAACACCTTGCCAGCTCAGCCAACATTTTGGGACAGTGGTGGTGTGAAGAAGAGAGAGGAAGTAGAACTGACCCTGCAATCTGAATATTTCTAATTATGTGATTATTTTTTTTGAACACCCAGAACTTGTAATGTAAAGATCGGCATGTCTTCCCCTATTTACGAGTTCTCAATCGGCTCTTGAGGCTAGTAGGAATACGTACCTCTTCTTGTCTAATTCAACTTCTAGGAAGATGTCATTCAAGTTGTGTGTGGTCACGTGATCAAAAGGAATTCTGTATAAGGCCTTCATCCCCTTGAGTGACTCCTCATATGTAGCAACTCTCACCTCCAGCTGACACAGGAGCTCAGAAAAGCTCTTCATGTCACCCTTCTTCAGCATCCACTGAGCAGTATTTATCCTCTACCCTAGAAATCTTTGGGGTGTTAAAATTTTTATGTAACTATCCGCCAAGCTTGCCTTGGCCGTGTTGCCCTTGGGATAAGCCTGGACTGTGGTGATGTCTTGCTTGTACAAACTGGACATTGGTTGGTTATTTCCCAGGCTGAGTAGCCAGCCTGGAGCCAAGAACTAGGGACTTTAGGTAGTCAGAAGCAGTCTTTTGATTTGAGGTATGATCTTCCCCAAGCTACCCAAGCAGCTTTTTTTTTTTGAGCAGGTTTATGCCACGCCATCTCGAGATCCTTAACTGACCAGTATGTGTCCTTTCTTTGTTCATTTTTGCACACAGGGTCTCTCTCCTTCCCGCTGACCGGGGAGCTGGGGGTCTGAGGTATGTAGCTGGTAGAAAGGTTATAATATCACATGTTTCCTGTGGGCACACTTGTCCATCTGTGATGGGTAAAAAGTGTTGGTGGATAGGCTGGAACGATGAGGGTGCTTGTTGTCAAATCCGAAGGCCTCTCACTACTACTCGGCGCGTCTATATTCTCCACCCTCAAATAAGTAGATATTCAAATTAAGAGTGAGTTGGTGGAATGAATAAAGGTGACTGTAAGGCAAGCGGCCCATCCTTAACCTAAATTGCCACTCAGTGTTCATTCATTAAGACCTCATCTCTCTGTAACCGCACACCCAGGGAGACTGAATTTAGTCAATCTTCAGTGCCAGCTTACTCGTCACGGAATGACAGGTGGACATTCTTTGTGTTAACAGTGTTTGTGATCTCTGGGCCCAAGCACACAGTACAGATGTGCTGGCGAAACAGGCTTCTTAGAGACGTTCAGAGCTGACTCAGTATGAGGTCAAATATTTTATTAAGCCCTGCTCTTTCAGTTACTTAAGAAAAGAAAAAGAACTTGTGTTTTCATTTATAGCATGACAGTGTTTGAAACAGTATTTGAAACCCCTATGAAACTTAAAAAACGAGGGGGGAAAATAATGTTTTTGGTTCTTGGGAGTTCTAAGAACAAGTTAAAATAGTAAATTTGCCTCTCTAAACTGTGCATCAAAATCTTCCTTTGAATTAAAATGAAAAAAAACAAAACAAAAACATGGGCTGTGTGTCCCTGTTTGACTCTAAAAGAGCTTTCAGACTGCTTCCTACAGTCAGTTTTAGCCTAAGCTGCCTTATTGCTAAAGCCTGTAACTTGATACTAAAAGCTTGTCAAAATTAAGTGCATGCTTTATAAGTTTACATTTTTACAGTCTAACTGTTTTTCTTTGATATTTGACAGCAACACAAGTTCCCATGTCATCTGGCCCTCGGTACTTTCAGAACTTTCTCCTGGGCCCAAGCGAGGGAACTCAAGGTTGTAGTGAGTTATGGAACTTTTAAGCTGCCTGCCCAGCAGCCAGCCCTTGGCCTCCACTTGAGGGCTAACACCTGTTGGCTGGACAGAGCAATTAATTTCTTTAAAAAAATGTGGTAAGCTGCCAGCAATCAAAGTTAAAAGGATAAAAAATATAATTTTACCTCTGAGCTTCCAGAAATGGCCTTTGATCTTTCCCAGTGCCCTTGGGACAGGAGGCAGAGATCTACAATATGTTCTTCACAAAGAAGCATCTTTAGAAGACGCAAACAATGAAGAGCTGGCAGTACCCACCCCCAATATCGTTTTGTGTAGCTGCTCACACTGAGATTGAGCAGAGACTGTCACTCACAACCTAAAGTCTTGTCTACCGAATGTCAGTCCTTAGGAAAAGCTTAAATTGGACAGCCTTAAATTATGATCTAGTCCATCCCTTGCAAGATCAAATGTAGGTTGAGTTTTCTGGCTTGATGGTTATAATGTTATTTGTTGTAGGATGTCTGTATGTGAAACAGATAACTGTGAACTTCAAAGAGCTAAAGTACCAACTGTGGGCTGGCGCTTGGCCACACATACAGCCTCCCTCATGCTCCAGACCCTTTGGTAGTCAAGACAAGGTCACTGATCAGGGTAATTTGCAGGAAAAGTCAATTTCTCAAGTACCAAAGCAGGTGCTGTGGCACTCTATGACAATTTACTGAATCTAAATTGAGGAAGTTGAAAAAAGCAAAGGTCACGAGCCACAGGAAGAATGGAGGAAAGAAAATCCCTCTGACTGTATTTTTAACTCCTCTTCCACTAAGATGCACTCGCCAGCCAAGGCGATTAACACCAAAAACAAATAAATGAGGATGGCAATCTCTCACTCTAATCAGCAACTTATCTGATTTCTTTAAATAAAAGAGGGGGGGTTTCGTGTTTGCCTGAATTCACAAGGAAATAAGCTCAATTTAATAAGAGTTAGAGAGTAGTTCTGCTCATTAGCGATTGAAGCAAAAATCAAACCAAGGTGTCAGAGCTTTACATCTTTAAAAAGAAATCACACATAGGGTTGTCGATTCAGTGGTAGAGTATTTAACTTGATGTGTGTAGCTCCAGATTCATTCTCAATACCCCCTAAAATTATCAAGCACATAGTATATGGTTAAATATATGATGCACACTTCTTAGCTGAGAGTATAAAGTATACATTGGGGCTTAATATATGACAAGCACACAGTACATCCTGAGTATTTTATTGTAAATTTGTGTATTCTCTACTTCCCCAGCACTATGGTTATAGAACACAGTGGGTAGGAAGTACTTGCAGGGTAGGAAGACAAACAGACATTGGGCTCCATAATGTCCTTGCTAGTATAACAAGGATCACCGGGGATGGAAAAGTCAGAAGATTTGGAATTGAATTCCAGCTAATCACTCATTCTGTAATTACAGCAAATTACTAAATCATTTTAAGGCTCTATGTTTCTCATCTGCAAAATTAGAGGTTTATTGTAAGGACTAAATGAGCATATATACATAAGTGTCTATAGATATGCACCTAACAATTATAAATACCGATTATCACTATTACCCCAAAAGGCAGATTTTACTGTAGGCTTCTCTGTGCCCCACACTGTGCTTCAAGCTTTACAGGTGCTGACGGCTTTAAAAAGTGAGTTAACTTGAAGAAATATGTTAAGTAAATCATGGTATGGATGGAAAAAACGATAGAAGTAGCATGGAAAAGCCTGAAATTGGGGGAATATTTCCTGATTTAAATTCTTCTTGGGAAGAAATGGAGACACAAAATTCTCCACTGGTATTTTCTATTCATGAAAATGTTCTTTAATGTAAAATCTCTATCATCTATCTGTCTGTCTGTCTGTCTATCAATCATATATATATCATCTGTCATCTATTATCTATGATCTATCATTTACCATCTATCTATCTATCTATCTATCTATCTATCTACCATCTATTTATCATCAATCTCATCAATCTATCTGTAGGTATGTATTTTGATAATGATCTTTACATATCCAAACTGGCTTAGAACCTGATATGTTGCCAAGGAAGACCTTGAAATTCTGATCCTCCTGCTTCCAACCCCCAAGTTTTAGGATCAAAAGGTGTGTACCACCACCCTCTGTTTATGTGGTTCTGAGGATCAAACCCAGGGCTTGTGCATGCGACAATCTACTAACTGTGCCTTAATATAGATTTTTTATAAGCAGGTGTCGAACCCAGCAAATTGTAGGTAAATGAATTGATTTTAGTTAATCAATTCCAACATTAAACCTACAAGTAAGGTTGGTATAAGACTTGCTTGATGCCATGATAAAGATTTTCATTGAAGCAACACTATGCCCCAATCCAGATCTATGGGAGCTAGCTGGAGGGACTCTGAGTTGTGAAACATCAAGAAATGCAGCTCAATAATTTCCAGAATGTTCCCTTTGGAACCATGTGCTCTGTCAGTGAAGGATAATCCAGTAAGGACATTCCCCCATTAATAGCGAGTTGCTTCAGTGGATGGAATACTCCTCTTTGAGTTAGATCTGTCAGAACACTGTCCAATGAGTCCCATGTCCTTGTATCTGTTCTGACCTCGGGGACTTGGTTGTCTTCTTGTTCTCCAAGACTAGAGAGTTAGCCTCTGTCTCCAGACTCCAAATATCCAGGAGAGATCCTCCCTGCCACACACATTTGATGCCACTCTCAGTTTCCTCCTTTGGTCACAGGGGCAAGAACTTCCAATGTCCTCATTACATGAATTCCTGGAGACAATACAATATTTAGGGAAGGGGCTGGATCATCATGGACTTTATTGGAAGGAACCACTAGGGAAGTATTTGGATAAAACCTAGTTTCAGTTCAACTTAGCTTCTTTTTTCCTACTTCTTTTGTTTTCTTTCCTTTCCTTTTCCCTTCCCTTTCCTTTAAGACATGGTTTCTCTGATTAGCCATGGCTGTCCTGGAACTTACTCTGTAGATCAGGCTGGCCTAGAACTCAGAGATCTACCTGCTTCTCCCTCCCCAGTCCTGGGATTAAAGGCGTGTGTTACCACCACCTGGTTCCAGCACTAAGTGTCCTCTAGGAAAGAAAAAAATAAACACAACATCATCTTAGATGTTTTAAATTGGGGGATATGTTAAATAAGAAGATAAAACAGGAGTAGGGGCATATCTTATTTGCATTCAGCAGTAGACATTTTCTTTTTAGTGCAACAGAACTACATGTTTTCTGATTATTAAGTCACATTTCTAATCATTTTCTACACAGGAGACATCTCTTTCCTCTCTCTCTCTCTCTCTCCCTACCTCCTTCTTTCCCTCCTCTCTTTCATGAAGAGACATAGCTAGCTTGGGAATTCGACCCTGAGTTGATCAGCCGGACAAATAAATAAATACAGCAGAATACACAAATACAGCTGGCCACGCCTGCAAGCCCTTGTTTGGGTGAGAGGGGGCTTCAAGCATGCTGGCCGGTCCTGCCCCGCAACACTGACCATCCTTCAAGTGTAGCTGACACCGTTTTGCCTCAAGCAAGGTCAGAGCACCAGGAACAGAAACAGAGGGGGGCATTGTCTCCATGTTCTCACAGAGGCACTGGCCAGTGGACTCTGATCTGCAGCTGCGACTTGGCCTCCCATGGTGGTATCACCAGGGTCTCCTCAGGCAGCCACCTGCCCTCACCCATTAGCTACCTCCCTCCCATGAACCTGACTCCTATAAGATGTCTCATTTTGGCTTTGTGAAAACCCTTCAGTCCTGAGAATATGAGAATTCTAAATTCCCTCGCTGTACAAATTGCCTTTAAACGAGGAGTTACTTGGCCTGTGGTGAGGCTGTTGCCTGGCACCAGAGGCTCAATGATAGTGATGATTAATGACAGTCAAGTAAGGTCAGTGTATGGAGTCAGGGCATCATCCCAACATCACCCTAAGCAGGAATGTGGACATACCTATCCAATGCAAAAAAGTTTCTACAAATTAGAAGATTTTTGTAGAGACAACAATGTTCTAAAGCTTTCTGTACTATTAGTCAAAAGAAATGAAAACCAAGCTCTATCATGCCCATGTCGAGAGAAACGTATTAAATTTGAATTTTGGCTTAGTTACACATTTTGTCCTGTTGGTAAAATAACATTCTGATGGTTTAAGATTCTAAGCATTTCTATACAGAACCAATTCCTGAGAAAAGTAAATACACCTTTAAATGAGAAGTTCTTAATCACCCAGAGATTTCCATAAGGAAAAAATGTTTAGGGGGGATTTTGATCATCATTTGTCCATTTATTTTTCTTATTGAGTTAATTTAATTATCATTGAGACACAAACATTAGCTTCAGTGCAGAGCTTCTCACATCTGTTAGTAAAGATTTGATTAGGGCTACACAAATGTGCTAGATTAAACTATCTAGTTGGTGAAATTCAAGCCACCTGGATATTTTAGCAACATCAATAAGAATAATTCTCTTTTTCCAAATCAGTAAATCCAAGCTATATTAAAAAGAATTAATTAATGAGTGCCAGATAGGCAAAACAAACATTTGACAATGAGCTAGATTATCAAAGGTTTTGAGGGAGATCCCACTCAGCTTATGTTTAGATGTCAAATTATATTACCAAAAACTAAACAATCTGTTAAAATGATGTCTTAATGCAATAAGTCTCTCATGATGTTTTTTAAAAATTTCTTAAACATTCTTAGTAGGAAAAAAAGAGATTCTCTTAATTTACCAATGATAATCAAATCATATGATGTTTGCCCCATATTTTGCCTAGGTTATTTTCAAGAGCTGTTAATATTGTTTAATCCTACCAAAAAAGGAAAAGAAATTATCAAGAAGTTCTGTTCATGTATTCTTTGTATCTCTTGAACTTTGCCTTGGAGAAAGAATTTACTAAAGACAGATGGACTGAATAGATTAATATAACAGAAAATAATTCTATAACCAAAGGAACTCAAGAGTTTTCACTCAAGTAAAGAAATATTTTCTACATTCCCATTCTTAATTCTATCCATGGGCAGATAGTACATATTTTAGAAGATGTGTACTAATCATCTCTGTCACAACTACTGAATTTTGGACTTGTAGTCATAGTGGATGTGATTGTGTCCCCCCAAAAAACTTTATGTACAAAAGTGTAATAGATTTGGCCCACTAGCAGTACCTTAGTGATCCCTTGTGAAATCCACATTCCATATTTTAAGGATCAGACAATTTAGGTCTCTTGTAGGAAAACCACTTACTTCCCCAACGTTAGGTAGACATCAAAATCAAATGTAATCGGTTGAGCTGCTGCTGAATCTGGCCCCTCCAGCATCCAGGCCTGCATTCACCCTCAGATGAATTAATTACAATGACATGTGGATGGCTGGCTCCCTTCACACTTAAGCTCTCTGCCCTCCTCCTAAAGCACATCTGAAATGCTTCGTGCATTAGATGTGGATGGAACTGGGATATGTAGATGATTCCTGGAGTCCCCAGAGAATAAGATGCTTTTCAGAGACCTAAGCAGAATCACAAATAATAATTTTGGGGGAAAGAAACAGGAACATCCTGACAGCTAACCAAGCATGAAAATGCTTGACTGCAGAGCCACACATGGCTTGCTTTATTAAAGACCATTTCAGTCCTAGAAAAAGTGCACTTCTATTGAATATTTATAACAAATATGATTGAATAAAAAGAATTTAAAGCGGGGGGGGGGAACCCTGTGTGTTGTGACTCTAAATTAAATCTTATTTTTCATGGTTGACAGTGCTTTGTATTCCTCAGGTTTGCTTTGTACAAAGAACCATCCTCTTGCAATGCCCCATTCCAGCACTGAATAAGACTTTCCTCATTAACACTTCAGTTACCAGCATCCATTTTCACAG